AATTTAAACTCCTATCAGTGTAAATTCGCAGAGGATGGGCGGGCTGGGCCCGTGCTATGCCTACTAATGGAAAGTTTATGTTAGTTTAAAGTTTTATTACAAGATTCCATGCTATCCTAGTTAGTTGGTTCCACCTGTGCAAGTGACTATCCCTAAACTTCACAACCTCCTTATTGTACATGATAGAAAATTTAGTATTGTGCATTTAAATTTATGTTCAACTTTAAATATTCTTACAACAGTGACTAGACGTATATTGCAAATTGAAAGTCTACATTTTTTATATATTCCCTTCCAGATTATAAAATGATGCTTAAAATATTTGTGCAAATGAGCTTTTATTAGAATTTTTTCTTTCATTTACCTCACTCGATGTATTATAGTAATATTCATCTTCTTATTAATTTGTGTTTTATTGATGGCATTGTGTGCTATTAATTTCTAACAATCTTGTTACACAAACATCTATTATTCAATACTTTGGGTATTTTTCCTTTTTTTTTCTGTAATACATGGCACTATAGTGCTTATATTATTAATGTTCCTCATCTCATTTCAGCGTTGCAATGAGTTTTTAGGTTGAGGTTACACATATCAAAAAGGTAAACATATTTATGGTTCTAGGATCACTTACTAGTAAGTAATATGTTTTCCCGAAGAACTGGTGAACACACCAGTTTCATTGCAATTTTGAGATATAATTTAAAAATAGCACAATTTCAAAAGAACATAGTTTATTCCAATGACCAATTAAATTTCCAGCTCACTTTTTGGAGATAGAAACCTCTTAAAATGAATATTGAAATCAATATTTCATATCAGCCTTTTGAGTCATACTTTTCAAAACCTGTTAAAAAAACTGCCTCTCCCAAGTCAGGCTGCTTGACAAGCATTACTCTTTCTAGTTTGTATTCAAGGAAGTTGAAGTACTGAGATTTAGCTGGGATTTTTAACTTTTTCATAGCAGACACCCAGTGACTTTTTAAAATTAACTTTTTAGTTACAGTAAGTTTAGATTGAAATAAAACTTGCTAAGGTACTGTAGAAACATTCTGTGTATTTCTCAGTTTTTGTTAATATTATCATCTCAAATTGCCATAGGTGTATTTGTCAAGATCAGTAAATAAACGTGGGAACATTTCTTTTAATAAAACAGATCTTATTTATATTTAAATAATTTTTATATTATATTTATTTTTGACTATTCTTTTCAACTGTCATCTTTTGTCTCTTCTAGGATTTAATCCAGGATAACTCATTGCATTTAAGCAGTCATCTTTTAAATGAGTTTGTTCACAAACTACAAGTAAACTATACTCTCCACTGTCAAGATTTTGACATTAATTTCGGTAAAGATTTTTAAAATGGGAGTTGATTGGTTTATATTTCATAAATATTTTATGACTAAAATGGTTTTGCTCTCAGAACCCCAGAAAGAGTATCATTTTTTATTTTTTATATATTCCCTTCCAGATTATAAAATGATGCTTAAAATATTTGTGCAAATGAGCTTTTATTAGAATTTTTTCTTTCATTTACCTCACTCGATGTATTATAGTAATATTCATCTTCTTATTAATTTGTGTTTTATTGATGGCATTGTGTGCTATTAATTTCTAACAATCTTGTTACACAAACATCTATTATTCAATACTTTGGGTATTTTTCCTTTTTTTTTCTGTAATACATGGCACTATAGTGCTTATATTATTAATGTTCCTCATCTCATTTCAGCGTTGCAATGAGTTTTTAGGTTGAGGTTACACATATCAAAAAGGTAAACATATTTATGGTTCTAGGATCACTTACTAGTAAGTAATATGTTTTCCCGAAGAACTGGTGAACACACCAGTTTCATTGCAATTTTGAGATATAATTTAAAAATAGCACAATTTCAAAAGAACATAGTTTATTCCAATGACCAATTAAATTTCCAGCTCACTTTTTGGAGATAGAAACCTCTTAAAATGAATATTGAAATCAATATTTCATATCAGCCTTTTGAGTCATACTTTTCAAAACCTGTTAAAAAAACTGCCTCTCCCAAGTCAGGCTGCTTGACAAGCATTACTCTTTCTAGTTTGTATTCAAGGAAGTTGAAGTACTGAGATTTAGCTGGGATTTTTAACTTTTTCATAGCAGACACCCAGTGACTTTTTAAAATTAACTTTTTAGTTACAGTAAGTTTAGATTGAAATAAAACTTGCTAAGGTACTGTAGAAACATTCTGTGTATTTCTCAGTTTTTGTTAATATTATCATCTCAAATTGCCATAGGTGTATTTGTCAAGATCAGTAAATAAATGTGGGAACATTTCTTTTAATAAAACAGATCTTATTTATATTTAAATAATTTTTATATTATATTTATTTTTGACTATTCTTTTCAACTGTCATCTTTTGTCTCTTCTAGGATTTAATCCAGGATAACTCATTGCATTTAAGCAGTCATCTTTTAAATGAGTTTGTTCACAAACTACAAGTAAACTATACTCTCCACTGTCAAGATTTTGACATTAATTTCGGTAAAGATTTTTAAAATGGGAGTTGATTGGTTTATATTTCATAAATATTTTAAGACTAAAATGGTTTTGCTCTCAGAACTCCAGAAAGAGGAATTTGGAGGGTAAGGTTTAGTTAATGATCAGATGGACTTAGAACCTTGTCTTCTTTTCAGCCTCCTGCCCTCTTTGCTTTTCTCCTATGATGATGCCGTTTCTGCAGGAGTGGATGCCGTGGGTCTCTTGGTTCTAGGATCACTTACTAGTAAGTAATATGTTTTCCCGAAGAACTGGTGAACACACCAGTTTCATTGCAATTTTGAGATATAATTTAAAAATAGCACAATTTCAAAAGAACATAGTTTATTCCAATGACCAATTAAATTTCCAGCTCACTTTTTGGAGATAGAAACCTCTTAAAATGAATATTGAAATCAATATTTCATATCAGCCTTTTGAGTCATACTTTTCAAAACCTGTTAAAAAAACTGCCTCTCCCAAGTCAGGCTGCTTGACAAGCATTACTCTTTCTAGTTCTTTCCAGTCGTGGCCCTAGGCTGGGCTGGCCAGAGCTGCATGAACACCAGGGCCACTCAGGGTTTATTTTTTCACCTTATTTCCATGTGACAACTTGCCAGTGAATATGGAGCTTGTTGTAGACACTGGGCAGGAATGAATCTGCAAGCATCATAGCATGGCTGTTCTGAAGAAAGCAGAACGGCAGATGCTAATGTACACAATTGTGTATTTGGTAGTTTTACTTACATTTTGAAAAATTGTTTTTGTCCTCTGCAAGTGGCATTCATAAAATTAGCTTATTTTTAATTCTCAGAATAAACTCAATTATTCTATTCCTCTATTTTTAAGAAATATATGTGTGTATACAAATATCCACCCACATCTACTATTTGACTGATACATTTCATAAAATGTACAGGTGAGGATAAAAATCATCCTTTGAAGTCATAGCTAAAGGAAAAATGAAGTTGAGATCAAGTAATTATCAGGATGACTAACGGAAATACTTTCTTTCAGTAAGACAACTGGCTTTTTCCATGAGTGCAAAACAGCTATAACTGTAAGACCACATTATCGTAAGTAACATTTTCACAGTTGACCTTAAAATCCTGAGAGATGAGCAGGTCAGCTGACTATCTCTGCTTCATCGGAAACCTCTGTGGCTTGAGGACATACACTTGATGAGTCTGGGTCATATTAAAGTCTCAAGACTCTGGCCGATAGCAAACATGTTACTTCCCTTCACACCTGTCTGTTGTCAGCTTGTGCAAGTGAGCGATTAGACTTTCACCTTCTGAGTACTTGTCATTTGCTCTGTTTCCTTCATCAGTGTGCTACCTTCAAATACGAAAGCAGGAATAGGAGGCTTTAAGGTTTGTAGGTGGGAAGAAATGCTGGAATGGCCACTCCACTCTGAATGTTTTTTGTTTTTTGTTTTGCTTTTTTGTACTGGGGATCGAACTCAGGACCTTGCACTTGCGATGCAAGCAGTGGCACCACTGAGCTAACTCCCTGGCCCTGCTCTGAAAGTCATGGTGGAAAAGGGATCTTTGTTCTCTTCTTGTTGGTCCAGTGAAAAGGACTTGGACGTAGAGACAGGAGTTCGGGGTCAGATCCCAGACCAGTCAGCTGTTGTAGGCTTGAACTTCACCTCTTGCAGCATGAATTTCACTCCAGGAAAGCAGGGCCAGTGAGAGCTAGACTGCTCTTTAGGCATCAAGTGCAGTGTCGTTACTTCCCGTGAATCACTTCACTTAGTCATTACGACAGTATCGTGAAGTAAGCAGTTTTGTCTCCATTAACATCTCTTCTAATTTTTAAGAGATGAACTGAGGAAGAAACCTTTAACATTTAGTGCACACAGAGGCTGTGTTAAGTCTGTAGCTAGGCAGCACTCCATAGATCTTTCTCTTAGAAGGAACGATTTCATTCATCGAAAGATCAAACTTTTAGACTTTTATAAAAATGTCTCCGGGATAGCCATGATTTTCACCTGCTCTTTCGCCTGTGCTATTTCTTCCTCTCCTTGTCGATGTGACACACTCCAGAAAAGGAGACAGTTTGAAAGTCATCCTAAAGCCAACCTCGCCACCAGCCCATGACGACGGTGGGTCCACCTCAGTTCCACGGAACCGCTTGAGAATGACACTCGGGGCTCTCGTCAGGAGATCGCCAGCACGTTATGAAAGCTGGCAGTGAAGATAAGAGCTGTCCATCTTCCCTGCACCTGTCGATGCTTCTGTTCCCCTAGATAGAATTTCTAGCTATTCTAAACTCATTTCCACCTCTGTTTTGAAGGATCACTACCCATGACTCTTAATAAGCTCGAATTTCCTATTTTCAGTGACAAAGACAGATGAAAGACAATGTAGCATTCAGATGACTAACTAGCAATGACTACAAAATGACATCCTGGTTTGAAGCAAACCTTTCTTTCTCCTAATTGCACAGTTGTTGCTTGACATTTACCTTTTGCTTGGAAATCATGGAAAACCACAGCTTTGTAACTGAATTTGTCCTCCTGGGGCTTTCACAGAATCCAAGTGTTCAGAAAATAGAATTTGTTGTATTTTTGTTTGTTTACACAATAACTATGGGGGGCAACATGCTGATCGTGGTGACCATTGCCTGCAGCCCTGCTCTGCTGGGCTCCCCCATGTACTTCTTCATGGTCTTCCTGTCCTTGCTGGATGCCTGCTTCTCCTATGCTATGACTCCGAAGATGATTGTGGACCTGTTCTACGAGAGGAAAACCATCTCTTTTCAAGGCTGCATGATACAACTGTTTTCTGAACACTTCTTTGGTGGAGCAGAGGTGATTGTCCTCACAGCCATGGCCTATGACTGTTACGTGGCCATTTGCAAGCCCTTGCACTATTCCTCCATCATGAACAGGAGGCTCTGCTATGTTCTGGTGGGCGTAGCCTGGACCGGGGGCTTCCTGCACTCCATCATCCAAATTCTCTTCACTTTCCAGCTCCCCTTTTGTGGCCCCAATGTCATTGACCATTTCCTGTGTGACTTATTCCCATTACTGAAGCTTGCCTGCACCGACACACACATCTTTGGCCTTCTGGTGGTTGCCAACAGCGGGTCTATCTGCATTATAATCTTCTCCCTGCTGCTTGTGACCTACGGTGTCATCTTGTTTGCTACCGACCGTAGGGGAGCAAAGACTGGATTTCATGAGAACAGGGATCTTCAGAAAGGTGGGAGCAGGTTCGGCGGCGACAGTCAGAAACCACGCAGCACTGAGTAGTGAAGGTAGTAGCTGCTGCAATTTTATTTCTAACTCTAGGTGTATATATACTAGTTTCAAGGGCACACCTCAAGAGTGATTTCAGTCACAGGCAGGCATGAGAAAGATAGACAATAGTAGTGTAAAAGCTAAGACCACAAGGTCAAGGTAAGACCACACCTATATACAATCACAAAAGCTAAGACCACTAAATCAAGGTAAGACCACACCTATACACAGTCAGAAGGGGAAGTTTGTAAAACAAAGGACTGGCTTCAGCATGTCACCTTCAGGATCACCTTCAGGACCTCACAGTCCGGGGCTCAGGGTCAGCACTTTGGCAGCCTGTCCTCTTGTGCCCCAATACCTCCCCATCTCTAGGAACATCTAATTGTTCCTGATCTTTCCTGGGCCCAGAATACAATTCTACAGATAATGAACAAATAGTAATAAAGACAAAATAGAACAGAATTATAAATGAACCCAATGTCCCCAAACTGCAGGCAGAGAGGCCAGCTATTCTCTTCACGGCTGACTTCACATGCAGTGTGTGCCAAGGACCTCCAGGAGGCTTAACCCCGTGGGGACGATTCCTCGGGTCTGGTTTCTGCCAGGTGACCGGCATTGTCACGCAGACTCCACTGGCGTGGTCGTGGCACTTGTTCTCCCTGAGGAAGCACAGTTCTGAAGGGCGGCAGAAAGCTCTGTCCACCTGTGGGTCCCATGTTGCTGTCGTGGTTTTATTTTTTGTCCCCTGCATATTTACATACCCACGACCTCCCTCTGCCTTCTCCTTTGACAAAATGGTGGCACTGTTTTACTGCACCCTGTCTCCCCTGCTCAACCCTTTGATTTATACTTTTAGGAATAAGGAAGTGAAAAATGCCATGAGGAAACTGTGGAAAAGAGTGGTGTTGGTGTCTGATGAAAACTAACAGTAATTAAACTTTATGAAAACAACGTAAAGAGCAAGGAAGTCAAATTGGGAAGGGACGGAAA